ACACACGAACATGTGTGTCTATTATAACTATTGAATGTTTATTTTGTTTGTATTATATCAACCTATGTTCACACCAAATTGTATTAAAATCTGTCCAGTAGTTCTGGAGATCGTAGATCAAATATGCAAATTCTGTTTATTTATTTCGCCAGTGTATTAATGCTCAACGGCTTTACCACTCGCCAGCTAGCGGGCCTAAAAATAAAGCGGAACGAACGAAAATTAAATGTAGGTCAAAAGAACTTAAACAGTGCAGAAGTAAATGAGGTTCAGATTTAAGTATCATTACCGGTTTTAAACCTCCGCTAATTTTGGGATCATCGCCAAATGCTTTTAATACTTAAATTTATATATACAACCAAAATTTTTGAAAATAAAATTCCATTTTTTTGAAAATAAAATATTTCCTAAGATTATTTACTTTAAGATGATTGCATATTTTAATAGGTTGTTTTAATATGTTTTCGAACAAATTAGAAAAAATTATTTAAAAAAAATAAATAAGGAAAATATCTGAGTTTTATTTGGAATTAAGTTTCCGATTATAAGAGAAGTCTCAAGTAGGACAAAGTAGGAAGTTTGATTAGAAAAGCGGTATTACAAATACACTCACGTTTGTGAAAATTGCAACACCATGAAGGACTTACGCGAGTGAGCTGAAATTTTCAGGAAATGCAAAGTAGCGCATGATATGCAAATGATTAGAATTGCAAATCCGTAGCGCATGCGTATGCTGAGCAGCGCCCTCTGAACGGCTGATGGATCCGAATAAATAGACGGCTGAGCGAGGCGTGTATGGTTATCGGTGGTTATCTGCTAGTGGTAAACGTTAACTCAATCTGTACTTATGCCTCGTCGACGAAAGAGAGCGAGATTTGAACAACTTACAGAGTTTGAACGAGGGAGAATCATCGGCCTTCGTGAAGCTGGATTGTCGTATCGTGCAGTAGCCTCTCGTGTGCAGCGTAACAGCAGCACAGTGATGCGCGTTTGGAAGCAGTGGACGGACGAGTGTCGGACAACTCGGAAATCCGGGAGTGGACCCCGAAATGTGACGTCAGCTCGCGATGATAGACACCTGGTCCGCATGGCGCGGACGGACCGTACAGCTTCCTCTAGACAATTGGCAGCACTGTGGTCAATAGCTACAGGTCAATAGCTCATTGTGTGCTTCATCAATTTGTAGACGTCTGCTGCAGTGTGGACTGCGCGCACGGACTCCTTTATACAGGATCCCCCTAACGCACGACCATCGCCGCCTGCGGCTACAATGGGCCAATCAGCATAGAGACTGGCGTGCTGATTGGCAGCATGTCGTGTTTTCTGACGAATCCCGCTTTAATTTGTGGTACCATGATGGCCGCATTCGTGTCAGACGCTATGCCGGTGAACGCCACCTTCCGGAGTGCATTATCGAACGCCACAGTGGACGAACACCCGGAGTTATGGTCTGGGGCGCCATAGCATATCATAGACGATCTCAATTGCTACGAATTGTGGGCAATCTGAACAGCAACCGGTATATCCGTGAAGTTCTACAGCCCGAAGCTGTTCCCTTCCTTCAAAGCTTGCCAGGCGCTGTATTTCAACAGGACAATGCCCGCCCTCGTACTGCTCGGATTGTTAAATCCTTCTTTGCAGCGCAGCAGGTACAGCTTCTTCCTTGGCCTGCGTGTTCCCCGGATATGTCGCCAATTGAACATGTGTGGGATGTCATTGGTCGGCGTCTTGCTCGTGATCCTCGTCCTGTTGCGTCTGCAGACGAACTTTGGGTACGCGTACAAACGATATGGAATGCTCTTCCTCAGTCAGACATTCAAACTTTGTTTGACTCCATGCCACGTCGTGTAGCAGCACTTATTGCGGCGCGTGGTGGCCACACAAAATACTGATTCTGATCTCTTGTTCTTGTTTGTTTGCTTTGAACATTTAATCATTTATTTGTACCACTACCACTCAACTGTGTATTAAATTGCATTCAATTATGACGATTCCTTCTTGGTGTTGCAATTTTCACAAACGTGAGTATAAACTAAATTCAGCTAATATTACAAAGTTAAACTTTTAAGTGCTAATTTAAAACAATGTGCTCGTGCGAACTTTTATGGAACTTTGTATTTATACAAAATACTCATGCAAACATTTCAGAAAAAGACCGATTTTGTGTCAAAATACATATGTTAAAACAACGCAATTTGTATATTTAATATATATTCTAAGTTGCACTTCTGAGACATGGGAAAAAGCGAGTTGAATTTCGTCGGTTGATCAAGTCAAATGGAATGTATGCAATTGTTGTATATTTTTGACTCGCTGTGCATTAAATATACATTTAAATAATTAATTTACTCTTAACGTGGTGTTATGCGTTTTTTTAACTTAGAGTCCCTGAAACCAAATCTTTTGTACGTCAAAATCCCATGGACTTGTTAAATAATTAGATAACAACAAAGCAAAACAATTTATGAAAATTTTCGAATCAACCAGGGACTTTATAATTTTCAAAATAAAAAAAAATTTCAATGGGTGGAGACATATTCCCGTGCTCGATTTACATATTTACCTCAATGTTTTGTAGGGTTTATATTTATTTTAACTAACATTTATTTTAAGTTTAAACTATCTTTCCTGTCAAGCCTTACTTTCCCCTGGAACTGCCAATGCCAGAGTATGTAAATTTTAGTAGAACGCGCAAGGATTCAAATTATCAGCGGAAGTATTCTGAGTTAAATAGAAAGGAAACGAGTTCGAAGTGTGCTTTTCGTACTTCACGAGCGCGGAGGTAGTTAGTTAGAAATTGAAGAACCACGCGTTTCGGCCTGTCTCCTTGCCTCGGCAAATTGTTAATCTTTCAACGTGATATTCAGAGTTTGCTGAATTATCAGCGTAATTTTAGAACGCGGTGAGGTTAGTTACGTTTAGAGAGCCTCGGAGTTAGTTACTTGTTAGTATCTCTTTTTAGTTTCTTATTTTATTTTACCGCCGGGTCGGCGTAGTTTGTGAGCGTCAAGAGCGCGCATTTGTAACTTCTAAAGTTGAATAAAAAGGGACTTAAACCCTTCTCAAGACTCTGTCTAATTTCCAGTTTCAGCAGTCACCACTTTGTTGCGTGCAGGTTGGAGGCGCGCAACTTTACAGTTTAACTAATCCCTGGAAAGTTTTATCATAGAAAGATATTTCTATGCATCTAGACTATCATAGGACAGCCTGCTTCACTTAGTCTTCGGTACTAAAATGTTGACCTCTTAGACCTCTTTGAGGAGTCCAAGAAACTCTCTTAGGGATAAATTGTACCTTAGTGCAGATTTCAGATTTTCTGTGCCGGTCAAAAGTGGAAAGCTATTTTATTAAACAGTGACCGTTAACTTTCTGAAAATGCTAATGTTCTGGTCCCTCAGCATGTCCTCTTTAAATCGCATTGCCCCGGAATATACTTAGGATATCCTGAGTACACTGATTTTCAGATCTGCTAAGGACATCGCAATTCAACATCCTGAGGATGTTTTGCTTAAGTCGGTATGTCCCGGCATATGAGATGGCCTGAAGATACTGATTCTCAGTCGTATTGAAGACTTCGTCATTTTACATACTGAGGATATTCGTAGTGCATTTTCACTAGGGTATCCGTTGTAGAGTATTCTGATGAGAATATGTATTCTCAGTGCTTCCAGCAGTTTTGGTTCTGCACATTTCCAGATTTTAAAGCATTCTTTAATTTTCCAATATTTTGCTATTTCATTCACATTTGCTAAAGAGTTATTTCTAAATATTGTTCAATATTTAGAACGTTATATTCTAAGGATGTGGCAGGTAAGACATCAGATCGTAGTAACATTAGTACTCTGTCGATAGTACTTAGCCAAGGGGTCCTGGGATGGGACATTAAACGCTCGGAAAGTTTTTTTAAGAAGATTAAGAGCATATTCAGGGATGTGCTGCAGATGTGTAAGGTAGGACTTCAAATCCTGATAATATCCAGTACACTGTTCATGGGATCCAGCAAGAATGTACTGGGATGTGACATTAAGCAATTTAGAGTATGTGTTTAGGAGCTTATGGGAGGATAGTCCAGGATGTCCAGAGTAAGTAATAAGTTGGACATCAGATCCTAATAACATTTCGTACTTTGTCCATGGAACCCAGCGAGAATGTCCAGGGTGGGATGTGACATTAAGCGCTCGGATGCGTTTAGGAGGTTAAGGGGATATTATAGGATATGCGCTTATCCAATGAGCAGTATCTTCAAGATAGCTGCCTAAACGGGAGAGTGGTTACTGACTCTGACTGACGTACTGAAAGGCCCGGATGGATGTAATTTGTTCGAATCCCGGCGAACGCATGCATATAATTTGTTCGTCCCTTCATAGGAGGCAATGACGGCCCACGTATCATGTGCCTTCATAATAATGAGACCACCGTTTCCGGCCTTAGTTGTGACCAACGTCTATAAACGGCTAGAGCCCATTATTGGATAGAAAAGTATCTTCAAGACATGACAAAGATGTTTTTGTGCAATGTGGGATTGTGCTCAGTGCTCCCACAGAAATATTCCTTCAACTCTTGCACAATTTGATGATAGGTTTCTATCGATTGTCAAGGAATCCTGAAAGCCTTCTTTGAAGGTCAGCATTGTAGCACTGATAGCGAAGTGAAGTACTCATATTATTTGCGGTGTTTTTCATCTGATAACATTTAATAAGAATGATATACAAATATTTAAATGCCTTCTTCACACCATGCGCTGAGGATTAATGCATACGGTTTTCTGCTAGAAATGTGGCATAAATAGTTTCTGTCTAAACACCAAAAGAATAGTTCCTGTTTTTGAATTTTCTGAGCGTATACTTTTAATTATATTACTTACTTAGGTAATACTTCTGAGTTTTGTTTCTACCACTCCAAAAATGTGCTTCTGATTCCTGTTTAGGTCTTATACTGAAAACATTTTCTTGCTTTGGACTGTTCTTAAAAGTAAAGTTGATGTATGCATTCTTTTTCAGAAATGATAGAAATGATACATGACGTAACGCCGAGCTTCCTTCTGCAGACGATTGATATAAATGGAGAAACTCCACTTGATAAGGCATGTAGGTATAGCACACCTCAAGTGGTGCAGTTTCTTTTGTCAAAAGGCTACAGCGTAACTGCCCCAAATGGAAAAAATGGCGCTTTAATAAGCGCCATTCTGAACATGAGTATGGAATACGCTACAGCCATCGTGTCTATGCTTTTAGATGCTGGTGCAAACGTAAGTAATGAAATCCAGTTAAGTATATTAAACGATAACTATTTAGAGTTAATTTTGATACAATAAGTGTCTTTTGGGGGTATTAGTACCGGGTTCAGAATTCGCATCTTGATGTTTAAGTGATATGGCATTATGAGCAGGTGTAGCCCAATTTTCTTAGTAATTCATACAATATATTTTTCCCATAGAAATATATAATTCTACTGTGGTAAACATGTCACTACTTCACAGAATTTTTGCTTTTGGAGGAAATTCTAGGAACCAATGTAAACCAGTTTCATAAAACACAAATAAAGCTGTTAGTTTTTACTTTAACGAAACTGTTCGGATGAGACTTGAATTTAAAGCTTATACCTCTGTGAGCAACACTGAGAAAACACTTACGAGCAAGGAAATGAGCACACATCAAAGAAACCATGCACGATAGCAAAACCAGGCAAATAGTGTGCTTGCTGTTGCGGATGGTTTCATCGATAGCAAAATCACGGTGCATGTTGATATGCAAATGATTTATATTTGGTGCTACATTACATGGTCACATTACCTGCGGTGGTACTGAAATAGCAAATTGGTAGATTTTAAATAGTTGCGTTTCTTCAATAACATATGACCACGTAAAGACTGGCTAATTCAGTCGCCTATACGAAAAAAGGATGATGTTCTTTATACGCAAGAGACAACGATTTGTGCATTTGTAGACTTCTGGAGAGTCCTTACTATCGGAATGAAAATCGCAGGGGAAGAGCAGCGTGACCTTATAGTCATTCACACGGATCGTTCTGACAGTTTGATAACAGTGGGAACTTGAATGGAATTACACACATGGACTGGCTTAGGTAAAACCAAGCAGATCACCGGCGCAAAGCATCGAAGAATCGTTCGCCAGGCATGTTCAGATCTATTGGTGACTCCATCTGTTATATGGACAACTGCAGCGACTCAAGTGTGCTTGAAAACTAATGATTGTAAGACGCGTCCAAGAAGCAAATTTGAGATTCCCGCGCCCTTTATGTGCTTTGCCTTTAATACTGTATCATCGGCGGGTCCGTTTCCTTTAGTGACACATCAGAACAATGTGGAGTGACATGGAATGGTACTCCTGATTTTCAGAGATGTGTCGCACTTCATATGGAATCAGATTATGATGTGTCTGAGTGTGGAAGTTCTTTCACTAAAGTAAAATCCCAAGCTTGTTGTCGTAAGGAACAATTCTGTACGGGAAGCATTGTGGCCCCAATCATATCCTTTGCTAGACAGACCATTCTGGTAGTGCTTCGCAGCACGAAAACTGCCTAGTAATATGTGGACAAGATATATGGCTGAATGTATTCCCATTCCTTGCCGAGATTCAGGTGCATTATTCTAGAACGATAATGCCCGATTGCCAGTACGGTTCGGACGCAGACACTTCTATGACCTCAGCGTTTACCCAAGCTGTTCTGTATTGATCATGTCTGGGGTAAACAATGCTCAAAATTTAGAACTCACCGTACAATGAGCGTGGAACTATCTATCACAGGAAGATACTAGATACCTGTTGGACTTAATGTCGGACCATGTTATGACTCAGTATAAGGTGATGCAACGCTTTGTTGAAGAGAACTGGAATATGGTCGAATGTCTAAATTTTTCTCTGATAGCTCTGCTTTTAAGATCATGTTTTTTTCAGAGCTACATCTTTGTCTATTAACTTTCATTTGCGTGTCACACCTCCTTTCTTTTTATGCTAGTTTCATTGATTGTGAGTATATTTATGTGGTTATGATTTTGTGATCATATTTAAACCCTAAGACAGTATTAATAATCTTAAATTGGGGTTAACAACTGGTCATCTGGTACGTTTTAAGAGCAGATTAGTCAGTGAGATACTCGCAGTTCTGCAAAAATTAAATCTTGAAAACGATATTACTTTTAATTTGTAATGGAATAAAAATCTGTATTTTAAGGAGTAGATGCATATCACGCTCTTGATACCTTGTAGCACTATGCTAACAAATACTTGGGAGAAACTATGAAGAGGATGCCAAAATTTAATCATTATAAATTTTAAAAAAAGTAGCATCTGTCCATGTTGCAAGCTTCAGGTGCTTAAATTTTGTTTTAGCATTTAAATTGTTAATATATTTTGAATGCATGTATTTGAGATTTATCAAGCCAGAGTTATTTCCTTCTTAGCGCTTATCGGCGAAGCCACTCATTTATTTTCTGCAAGCAGTATATACAGGGTGTCTCGTAAGTCTGTAAATATTTTAAAAATTCATAAAAATCGAAAGAATTGGTAGAACTGAACGCTGTTTGCGAAAAAGGTATTCTCGTGAAGGGGGATTTTTTTGTAAAGGAAAAATAGTTAAAATTTTCGTCGATGGAAGGCGCCTCACACACACAGTAACAAGAAATATGCAATTCAAAATCCTATAAATTGTATATTTTAAGATTGAAAGCTCATTTCTTATTTTTCCTTCTACTTGCTCGTACATAAAGTTTTAATTGTGTTGCTGACATTAGTGAATAAAGCGCTATTTATCGTTTCAATTCAGTAAAAAACAGATCATTCAAAATTCTAGATAAGCAAATGAAGAAAGGTTGCTTAGCTTTATGATCCGCGTTCTTCGATTCTGGTCCGCCGCTTTTGTAGACTCCGATTTGGTTTCAAACTCATCTAAAATTGACACTATTTTGTATGAATCACTTTATTTGACATTTGACACAAAGAGGAACAATATCTAAATCATTACACTATCAAAAAAACACTTCTAACTACTTAGCATCATTGTTCTACATATCTAACAGCGTCATTAGTCTACTGCGTCACTGTTCTAAAAGCATACACTTATCGTTGCCAGTTCTCAAAAAACAAACTTTCTTTTTCAATTCTCGTCGGTCTGGAGGCTCAATCCGTTCCCCAAGAGCGGAGCGTGCGTCGTTCGCGACACACTCCCCCCGATGAGTTTCACCAAGTTGAAACTCAGCCACAGTCTGGTTGAAAGTTCATGAGGTTTAATCGTTCAGGAGTTCGAATCACTCGTCCACATCTAGTTGTTTTGAGGGGATTCTGATTGAGTTCATTTGACTGATCTTTGTCAGTGGCACGAAACTCTGTAGATCCAATAGAAGTTGTAGGCTTATCACACATTTTTTGATCAGAATGCTTCTTTCTCAAACAGTCTCCTATATTATCCGTTTGTAAATGGACTTCCAACGGATAAATTCGTTGTATGGGTCGAAGGATTTCGCCACTTTTGGTGCGTAATTTTACTAAACGAACTACACCATCATATTTCCTGGGATGAGTGTTATAATTTTTCCTAGAGGCCACTTAATTCTTTTCTCAGGTGTTTCTATTAACACAATGTCTCCAACCGATAGTTTAACATATTTCTCTGTTTTTTAAAATATGGTTTTTCAGTTGTCCTAAGTAAGTATTCAGTTCTGAACCGTTTTCTTAGATCTTCTCTAACCTTCATCTGATATGCATACCTTTTTTGTAAGTATTTGGCATCAATAATATCTAGATCTGGAACGCCACTTTCTTTTAGATCACGAAAAAACATTGCAGGTGTCAAGGGTTCCAGTTCCAAGTCCTCGGAAATATAAGTTAATGGTCTGCAATTTAAGATATTTTCGCAATCACAGAGGATCGTATAGAGTTCTTCATATTTCAGTGAGGCATTACCTAAAACTTTTCTGAGAATGTTTTTCATCAGGCCAATCATTCTTTCCCAAAATCCACCCCACCAGGGAGAAGCTGGTGGGATAAATTTCCACTTAATGCGGTTGACAACATGATTTTTAATAAGTTTATCCCAGTCAATCATTTTTAAGAGCGAATTTGTACCAATAAAATTACTACCGTTATCAGTGTAGACAATTTCAGGTCTTCCTCTGCGTGCTTGCTATAAAACGTCGGAAAGCCAATAAAAAGTTATCTGTTGACAAAGACGTTAAAAGTTCAAGATGAATTGCCCTGTATACAGCACATGTAAATAAAACGATCCACGTTTTCGATCCATTTTTTAAAAACAAAGGGCCAGCTAAGTCGATACCTGTCACTTCAAAAATAGAAGAATCTTTAACACGGTCCTTTGGCAAAGGTGCGGATTGTACCGTGGAGGGCCTCGAATCAAATCTTCTACATTTAGTGCAGTGTTTTTCAACACTTTACGAATAGTTTTACGACTTTTCAAAATCCAGAAATTTTCTCGTAGCATTGCCATTAAAGTCTGAGTTCCGCAATGCATTTGTTGTTCATGTTTTTCCATAATCAGTTTAGAGACACAACTGGATGTTCAGGAGGTAGGATTACAGGTGTTCTAAAATTTTCGAAGTCTTGTCTCATTAATATTCTTGACTTTACTCTTAAAAGACCAGATGAATCAACAAATGGTTTTAAATTTCGTAAGCGTTTATCCTTTTCTGTTTTAAAGGAGACCCTTTGCACAATTTTCCAAACAAGGACTTCAGCTGCATTCAATTCTTCGATTTCTAAGTTCTTTGACGTTGTTCTGTTTTTATCTCTGCAGTTATCAATATACCTTTTTATCCAGGCTGTAACTCTAATTATTTTCTCAAAAGAAGAAATTCGTGAGAAATGCGAAAATTCTTCATCTACATTTGTTAACGAGGATGAGGATACAACTGTTTTTCTTCTTTCTCGATCAATCATATCTTTGTCAGGAGAAATATCACAAGTAGGCCAACAGTCTGGATTCAACTTCAACCATGCTGGACCTTCATGCCATCTTTTGGCTTTAATAGTTTCAACAGAACATCCTCTTGACGGAATATCCGCAGGATTCAAGTTGCCAGGAACATAATTCCATGCATCAGGATTAGTAAGAGCTCGTATTTCTTTCACTCTATTCATAACAAATACACCCCAATTTTCTTCATTCTTAATCCAGTACAATGTGTTCCTTGAATCTGTCCAATAAAACGTAGGTATATTTTCTTCCTTCAAATCTTGTTTTATAGATTTCATTAATCTTGCACCAACAACACAA